GGTGGTCACAGGGACAGAAATCTGGGAATCAGGTCAATTATGGATGGTGGCTTGCTGATAAGAGAGAAAGAAAGCGAGCATGAGAAAGAGGGAGTAACAGGAAGAGGGGGCAAGGCTGCTGATTTTTTTTATCATTTGGTTGAATACTACTGGGACGCAGCAGCATGCCTGGCCTGACCTATAGCCGGCTGTTTTGTAAGATCTGTTGTGATGCTCCTAACTAGATCTGTTCTCACACAGACCTCCCTCTTGAGTGCCACATACATTTTTTTTTTTTTTTGCATGGTAGTACACCCTCCAGTAGATTCACACGCATCCGTGCACACCTGCACATTCTCAAACCACAGCTTTGTTTTCTATTTGTGTGCGTGCCATTGATGATGCAGAAAAGATGTGACAAAGCAGGAAAGCTATTTGTTCTGTCCTTAATTAAGTAACCGTAAGAGTCCCTTTCAAACGCTTCCGTGCAGCAAGCCGCCTCAATGAACAACTGCTGTTCAGTTCACACTTCCGTGGCCCTAAAAACCAACCGGGCAGTGTTTCCCGCTGACCGCAGTGTTCGATTGGGGTTCATGTTGGTTCTTGCTCACAATGGGACAAGTGCTGACCTCTAGCCTTGGTTCTGACCCCCTCTCTTCCAGGGGTTAGGTGCTGAGACAGATGTGGGTAAACTTCCCCATGTGAACAAGAGAGAGGGGCCCACTTGTTAAAGGACTCTGTTTTCTTCCTCGTCTTGGAGAAAGTAAACCTCAGACTGGAAGGTAGGTCTAATTGGAACAGGTCTGGATATGAGGGTTCAAATAGCAGTGGAACATCGGAAGGGTACAATGGATATCAGTGAGGAAATGAGAGACTTGTGAAAAGGTTTCGGTACGTCCATGTTCCTAATTGGCAGTATGAATGTATAATAAGCATCAAAAGAGGCTTTTACTAATTACACACCTTTCTATGTAATGGCAAAGGAGCATTCAGAACTGAAATCTCAACAGGAAAATACAATTTCTAGTATCATTTAGTGAACTTTAATTATATTTAATCAACATTACAAAATAATGCTTACCCAAGAATTGCATTGATACCAAAGTAATCCTACAGATTCATGTATATTAAATCAAGAATCAGTTTGTTTTTCCAGCTTTTTTGTTGTGAGACCAGTAGGTGGCACTCCAGGTCTGAAGGCTGTTAGTTGTCATGACTGAGTTTTTCTCAAAGCAGAAATGCAGGCTGAATGAGCCCAAAAGTAATGAAACACATCCACTACGATGTAATTCTGCATTACAAGCATGATTTTCAAAGTTGTCTTCAGCTTGTGTTGTACTATATGTAGTTTATTGCATGCGAGTTATCATGAGTCACTATTTTGTTTTTGATGCATAATTATCAAATATGTACAAAAAATATGTACAAAAAATATGAAATAATGGATTGCTATTCATTTGCATTAAACCATAGACTGAGTTATTTTAAAGTATAATCTGCAACATGTTAATCTGTCCCAAGACAAGACACAAGTCTTGAGAGAAACAATTCAACCCCAAATGAGGGGTTTAACATCTCAATGTTTCTATTTTATTATACACAGCAAGGTTTCAAATGATGATATTGACTATATCTTCATTAAATTATACCTGCCCAAATAACCTTTGTTGTTGCACAAGGCTTTGTATAAGAAACAACCTGAACGGTAATGGCATGTGCTGGATTGTGTGTTTTAAATAAGCACACAATATAATTACATAAAACTTACATACATTATAGAATACTAATGATATTGATCATTCTTCAATAAGAACTTTATTTAGACTTTAATACCGAACTTAACTTTTCAAATGATTTTAAATTCAATTATCCTAAAATGTTGGGGATTTAGTCATTTAGATATATCAGTGCTAACTCCAGCTCTAGCGTTGATTCATTCAATGAGTCAGTCATTTTTTTTGGAGTAAGAAATAAAATAAATACGTATCAGCGGAAATAACAGAGAAGGGCCCTCTTGTTACATCTTTCCTCTCCACCTACTAGATTTGAGTGAATTTCTCACTTTAGTTGCCTGGGTTATCACTAGTAATTTTTACATGCCAGTGAAATATTGAGCCCGAATTCCGCTGTCTCGTCACCATTGAGTGCTGCTGAAACAGATAATTAAAAGACTGGCATACCAGTAGAGAGACAATGTCTGAGAAAGGTAATAACAAGCCATTTAAATCACCCCAAATGGGACAGCCTGGTTGGATTCAGGGGAGACCTTTTCTTCTGCCTTTCAGACACGAACCAAATATGCGAGGGGTGTCTGCCCAAAGCAGCATCCCTCCCAGGGTGTCAGTGGGAGGACGAGAGCCGCGAGTGTCCTGAGTGTGAACCTTTAATTTTTTCTGTGGCCGAAGAGTCATAAATGTCTTGTTCCTATTGTGTGGGAACACATCTTGGACATTGTCCCCGTGGCACTGCACACCAGTAGCCAATAAGTGGAACATGGTCTCCTATCCGGCAGCAGTCTAGCATTCCTGGCATTTCCAGTCGGCTGTCTGGCATAAGGTCGGAAGAGACACCGTCAAGCCGAGAAACCTTGTTGTGGTTCCCTTTTCCTGGTGAGGAGGTTTTGGTTGTCTCCGGACTGGAATGTCATTGTCTTTAGCATGTTTTTCAGTGCAGAACCAAAACATACTCATTCTGACCTGATGCAAAGACCGGAGAAACAACACAACTAACATCCTTCAGTTCAACAACGATTCACATTACCCCAAAGAGAAGGATGGTATCATGTACTGCTTACATTTGTGACAGTGAAATGCACTGTCAGTGGTACTGACACTATTGGCGTATTTTTGCTTGAATCATCAACAGGGTTATCATTTGTCTCAAAATTAGAAACAAGATCTAATGTATATCTTAATTGTTTAAATGTTCTGGTACGCATCTTTTTAACCTTAATGTCAGGCTTGAACATGGTTTTGGTTTTGTTCTGACTCATCATATGATTCAGCTTTAGCCCTTTAAGGCTGTAAAAATAATCAAATGATACACACTTCAATGGGAGAGTTCATCTTCAGTTGAACGGCTCATAAATCCTCTACATATTAAACCTGTGACCAGTGGTCATACATAGAAGTGGATTAGTCTTAAGAGATCATATGCAAAAAGGTTTTGTCAAAATACTGTGAGTTCACTACAGATGAAGAAGTATCAGAAAGACCTTGATGACCAGAAGAAGGCTCTCAACTCATTTCAAACTCCTTAAAGGATTTCCTATTGGAGCCCCGCACAGTCTAATATCTCCCATCGCTGGGGTTCCCTTCTTCCTTCACTACCTCAGGTCCAAATTAAAAGATTGAAGAGAAGAGAGGGTGCAGCATCCCGGCCTGTGTCAGGGCTGGAGAGGAATTACTGTGAATAAATTATTTGAGTCCCTGGAGGGCAGGAGACGGGCCTGGCGCTCGGTCCTGCAGCCCAGTGAAGGCATCTGCCTAATCAACACTCCAGCGGGAGTCCTGCTTCATTATGAACTCAACAGTTATTCCTAAGAAAAGTAACCATGGGCTCTCATGTCCTTGTGTCAGTATGAGTTGGGGATAGAAAACATTCACAATGCTGCCATTTTGCCTCACTGTTTTAATGATAAATACAGACAAAAAACATACAAGATACATAGGCCTACACGTTTTTTTATTCTGGAGCTTGTTTTTTTCATGAGCATACTCCCAATCAAATTCATATTATCCCATTTCACCTACTCTTTTTGCACTTATTTATTTGAGTAGATCCATGTGTCCAATGTGGTATTTTTTATTTAAAAAAAAGTCACATTGGACACTAAGAATGTAATTCTGTTGATGGCACTACACAAAAAAAGTTACAGAATTACCAAAGGTATCACAACTGATCTTTTATGGACCTTAAATATCCGTACCAATCATTTCAGCAATTCATCCATTGGTTCTCAAGATATTTCTCTAAAAAAACCCTGACATTTCAACCTTCTAACCATGGCTGAAGACAATGAAGTCCCCAGGTCAACTGCTAAGTTAAGGAAAAGCATGAATTTTTCAAAAGAAAAAAATTAATTAACAAACCGACTTTATTGTTCAGCTTTGACTTGACATTATTTGCTGTGGTGCATACAGTTTTGCTGTGAACAAGTCAATAATTACCAACACTTTGAGTGCACTCATTGTCAGTTTTTTTATCTAGTGGTTTAGTTAATACTCATTGCATGCTTGGATCGGGAAAATAACCATGCCTTCTCTCGCGTTAGGTCATACCCCCCTTCCCATGCTATTTTCGGTCAAAATTGACCAGTGTGTTTTGCACAGTGATATCTCCTTCACCCCTTATCCAATTTTGATGGTTGACATCTCATTTGAACAGTGAAAGCAAGTAGAATAGTTGGCAATGCAAAATTGTGGAATGTCACCTCAGGCTCCTCTTCCTCAGGGGCTTCTATCTCAGGGGCCTCTCCCTCAGGGGCCTCTATCTCAGGGGCCTCTCCCTCAGGGGCCTCTCCCTCAGGTGCCTATTCCTGTCTGTTGTAGGCTCATAGTCTGGATCGCTGTTGTCTTCCATTTCTGAGACATCTTCCTCTATCTCCTCTTCACCTGGTTCAAAAAATGTGTCCAGAGCCCCTCGTACAGAAAATCGCCTAATCAGTCGCCTGCTCATTGTGTCAATGAGTCAAATGTGAGCAAGGCGCAAATATAACTGCTTGAGAGACATTTAGCGCGAGAAAGTGAAAGGTTTGTGTTTCTCGAGGGGCACAGAGCTTGCACCTGTGAGATATGGAATGCCATTTAAGCCAAAATTAAATAAATAAATAAATACATCAATAATTAAATAAAGACATATATATATAAATATGCCTATGAAATAAATTATGAAATAAATAAATGAGGCAATAAATCCTCGAACAAGACCCCGAGATGTATACATGTACATTTAAATACACATTTATTTATTTCATGGGACTTTTATTTCATAATGAGACATTTATTTCAAGAGACTTTTATTTCATAATGACACATTTATTTATTTCAAGAGACTTGTATTTCATAATGACACATTTATTTATTTCAAGAGAATCGTATTTCATAATGACATATTTATTTATTTCAGATGACTTGTATTTCATAAAGACGCATTTATTTATTTCAGGTGACTTGTATTTCATGATCAGACATTTCATGATGAGACATTTCCATTCCTTATATGCAAATGAACGGGGCGTGGTTAGCTCACAGATCCAGAGACCCAGACCAAAGCAACAGCACCACAACACTGACTACTCGAGAAGAGGAAGAAAATGGAGGAGAAGGACTATAAGGCAAACTACTAAATGAAAATAAGGCGGGGCAGACAACATGGAAGACGTCGGTGGGCTCCAAGATGCTATGCTATCCTTAGCAGATCAAATTGATCAACACGGTTTACCAACAGATACTGTGTTGGCCCATATTGAAGACTTTATCGAAGTACTCGGGCGGATAAGCGCTCTTCGAGATATCGACACGGATGACGAAGTTGTAAATACTTTGACACTGATTGAGCACCGTGTTCGTGTGGAAGATGTCCAAGAAGTTGGTTCAAGCACAGGTGCAGGACGCCCGCCTCTGGATATTCCAGGCGATATGCTTGCTACCTATGTGCTGTCCGGTCTATCAACCCGGCGGTTGGCTGCCTCTCTCAATAATTCGGAGAGGCTTTTCTCAGTCAGACATAGCATGTAATATGATACTCTAAATGTCACCCGCCAGAAATGTTCGCTTCTTCTTCTTCGGTGTAAATTGTCCGTTGGCAAACCAGTTGACTTCTTCTTCTCTGGGTTTTTTGGCGGATTGCAAACAACTTTAAGGTGCATACCGCCACCTACTGTACATGAGTGTGAATCATCATATCATTCCATCTCTTAACTCATGGACATATCTATGATCTAATCCAAAAATAAATAAATAAGAAACATAATAAATAAAACAAAACAACAATCTATGATCTTTCCTGACCTAATGTTAGATAATTTTACCTACCCCAGTTTCACTAAAGGTAAACAGTGCCTTTCTTGTAGCTCTTTCTCCCTCTCCTTTTGTTCCCAAAATACCAACCACACTCCATTCCCTCTCTGCCTCTAAAACGTTATCCTTTAGTTTTTCTCTTTCAGCTTTATAGATGTTCCACATTTTCTTTAACTGCTGTGTGATTTATTCTGAGTCTAGCTATCATAATTTCCTCCCTTCTGTTTCTTTCTTTATAAATATTTGTCTGCTGGCATACCAGCAGACCAGCATTTATCTATCACCAGCTTATGTTAGTATTAAATATACAATGTATTCTGGTAACTATCAAAATAAAGACATTGTATAGTGTTCATAACAGTATTTTTTTTAATAAATTATACTTAATACAATAATATTACAAAAAAAACTTACATCTAAATAAATATATCATCTAAAATAGATGCATTTGATTTAAAATAATTCAAAAATGTAAACAGCAACAAAGAAATTATAAACATTATTTTTCTTTTTCTTGTTAATATCCATTATCTTCTCTGTTATGTATCTTCCGGTCTTTGCCAATCTGGCCAGCATTTCTTGGTCCTCCACGTCTTTCTCGTACAGCCACTGCTTGAAGCAAACTGAAAATAAGAAACAACAATGTTTTAACAAATCGTATTAAATTATGTGATGATAGAACTGCAAACAGAATAGCTGTAACTTTAACAAAATAAATAACTCAGTTACCTCTAATTATTTATCCATGTTTGTATCATTGAGTTAACTGTGTGTTGCTGCTAGCATACATAATATATACCTGACGTGGAAACGTTACTCGTGGATGGGGCTACAGAGCTACTAGAAAGACAGTCGAACCCGGTGCATTCCTCCGTCTGAATGTGGTGCACTTTTACTAAATGTTTAGACAAATAGCTTGTGTTACCGCCCTTACATGCTAAATTCTTATTGCACTTTTGGCAACGAGCATTTTCCACCTCAAGACCAAGCCCCCAGGAAGTACGCCGGACTCTGAGGAAAATATTCGTTGTGTCCAAACGGCGGTACTACAATTTCCTTATCAGTTTGTGACGTCAACCGGCCCAGAAATACTTTTTCCCCTTGACTAACATGGGGAAAGAGACGTCTGTAAATCGGTGGATAATTTTTTAGCCCTAGAATCATTAAGTCCTTAAAGTTGTAAAATGCACTAAAAGCCGAATCTAGATGTATTCTCTCTCTCCATTCATTCTAGTGAGCCGAGAGTGTGTGCTCGGGGGGCTGGGCTTAAGGGGCGTATGCTCTGTGAGCGCACAAACGTGTTCTTCTGCTCTGACAGCCAGGCATGACGGGTAATCTGTGACGTTTCGCTCTCTCAAAAGTTGGGCCATTTTGACTTCATGCGCCAATGAGCAGCTCTCATAGGAAAGAACGAGACCCCGCCTCCCACGCTGTATCCAGTTCTTATTATACATCCATGCTCAAGACGGGTAACATAACTATCCTCGGGGCGCTTAGTTCTCTCCGCCATGAGTGCGCACACGTGTGTGTGTGTGTGTGTGTGTGTGTGTGTGTGTGTGTGTGTGTGTGTGTGTGTGTGTGTGTGTGTGTGTGTTGTATGCATGCATGTAGCAGGTTCTGTGTGTAAACTGCCCCACCCCCTCGCACACCGACAGGGGAGAGAGATCTCTCGTCTGGATTGGAAAGATCGCACTTTGTAGTCTTTTTGCATATTAGAAACGGAGTTGGCGACAGTAAGACTGCGATATAATGTTTGTGTAGATATAATACATATGACATCTATTGTTTAAATGTCTCCAGTACCGATAAAAAGATCGATAACGTTGGACGTTAACGGTACCACGGTCTTTAATAATTCAGCCCCGGGCCCTCGGTACCCATCCCTAGTTTTAATTATTACATCATCAATATTACATTTTAAATAACCAAGTACTTGGTATCTCACAAAGAGTGAGTTGCTAGTGCTGCTAAGAACATACCTGGTGATGGTGATGATGGTGGCTCTTCGCTGCAGGATCTGGTCGATGTCCTCCTAGCAGGAGCGATTGCCTTCGTCGTTCTCGTCCATGATGACGGCGTAGGCTCCTTTCCTCAGGAGGTCCTCGATCTCCTTCTTGGAGAACTGCTGGACCGGCTAAAGGCGACGCAGAGAGACATTTACACAAGTGGATTTAGAAAACTCTTTTAGAAAATAAACTAAGCGTACTGCAACAGCGACTGACCCAAAAATTACTTGGCATCTAGAAATATGACAGATTTTCTTTTTCTCACCCCGTTGTTGTTGCCTTCTTTGTTCCCACTCATGCTCTGCAGGACAGCACGGTCCAGCCCGAGCTTCAGACTAGCTTTATCCAGCTTTTCCCTCTCATAGTTTCTAGTGATCAGACGGTACACCTTCACCGCCTTAGACTGGCCAAAACGATGACACCGAGCTTGAGCCTGAAATAAAAAATTAAAAGAGGGGTCAAAAGAGCAAAGTTTTTAAGCATTAAATGGGAAAATATACACTTAAAGAACCGAGGGAATAAACGGAAAGACTGTTGTTGTTGTAGCCCTATTGAACTATCTTTAGGAAAGACAGAGCAGATATATATATATCGTACCTGCGGGTCATTTTGAGGGTTCCAGTCAGAGTCGAATATCACACAGGTGTCCGCAGCAGTGAGGTTCACAAGCTCTTGATCAGGTGTTTCATGTGGGCTGGCATGATCCTTTCTGCAGCGATAAATAAAGAAAACAAAGAAGACATTATTAATAATAGTAATGATGGTAACAACAATAATATTAGTATAACTATTTATATAGCACTTACACAATAATTGCAAAGTGATTCTCACAACAAAAATAAAGAACAAAACAATGTCAACAATAAAAAAAAAAATTATTATAGGAATGTTAAGAGACAAAGAAATGATAAACATTCTGAGAGGCCGACTACAAAAAGGTAGACTCAATGGCTCTTGATGACATCAATGAGCAGTCCCAAAACATGCTGCTGTATAAAAAGAAATAGGTCCAGATTTCTTCTATTTAGTGTTGGATGATTTGTTGTATTGATTGCTGATGGATGTTAAGATATGTTTTACAATTATAACTTATTGTAATTGGAATCAAAAAGTTTAAAATCGTAGTTTTAATAAAATGACTAGCAATATAGGGTTTATTTAACAGCGGTAAAGCATTAAGTTGCTAAATTAACGTACACTGAACTGTAAAACTTACCACTATTTAGGAAAGGACCTGATCAGAAGGATTGACTAGTAAGACAGCAAAGAGGTGGAGGAGGTCTCTGTCATGTACCATTGGTAGATGTTACACCTGAAAGAAAGATAAGGAAATAAGACAACACAGGAGGACAAACATCCTCTTAAGTAAAAGACGAAATCATGTCAAGCTTTACATCTTTCAGTCTTTATAATGCACTGTTGGAAAATACATTCCAAAGGCTAAATTCAAACTCAATACCATAAATAACTAGGGTACCAAAGTGCTCTACCTGATAGAACACATTGATAGAACCGGCTGGGCNCTGGATCTGTGAGCTAACCACGCCCCGTTCATTTGCATATAAGGAATGGAAATGTCTCATCATGAAATGTCTCATCATGAAATACAAGTCACCTGAAATAAATAAATGCGTCATTATGAAATACAAGTCATCTGAAATAAATAAATATGTCATTATGAAATACGATTCTCTTGAAATAAATAAATGTGTCATTATGAAATAAAAGTCTCTTGAAATAAATGTCTCATTATGAAATAAAAGTCCCATGAAATAAATAAATGTGTATTTAAATGTACATGTATACATATTTATTGCCTCATTTATTTATTTCATAATTTATTTCATAGGCATATTTATATATATATGTATTTATTTAATTATTTATGTATTTATTTAATTTTGGCTTAAATGGCATTCCATAGTGAGAAGGTATGATACATTGTATCATACAGCGCGAGAAAGGGAGAGGTTCCCGTAATGTGTGTGTGTGTGTGTGTGTGTGTGTGTGTGTGTGTGTGTGTGTGTGTGTGTGTGTATAATACACTCATACCCATTCATTTTCTATGGCGGTCAATTCTGACCGAAAACATCAAGGGTGTTTCACTGTTGAATAAATCACTCAAAATTCAATGCAAGTGGTGATCATCAAGTGTATATGTTCAGAGGCCTAGTGTGGAGGATAACTGTGATGAGCACAATCTTTATAAACAATTTCGAAATCTTCTAAAGATGGATTAACTGGAATGCTCCTTTAATCATTCTCATGAATGTGACTACTCATCGTAATCAGTGGTTTGTTGGATCCTCTAACATGCAGAACCGAATCAAGTTACCACATCTGGGAAATCTCTGCCTATAACTATCAAAAATCTCTCTCTTTGCTCGTATACCAGGGGAAAGTTGATGAGGAGCATTAACTCTTACTTGCAGTCATAAAATAAAGTGTTAAAGGGAAAACAGCATTCACTGTGTGTAAGTTAACCCCCAGGCCCTGTGTTTTATCGCCCTGGATTTAAAGTCTCGTTACTGGAGATTATTAGACTTAATCTAGTAAAGAGGAGCGTGACGTTCCGATCACCCTGAAGGCCAATGGGAGTCTTTTGAAACAGTAGGGGAATTCATCCGAGTCGGCCATATGTTGCTTTCTCTCTGAGGGGAGAGAGGTGTGGCTAATTCTCCAGAGAAGCCCATTCAAATATCACCTGAGGCTCTTAGCTGGCAGGTAGCGGCTCAGCTAGCAGTCAGAGCAGTTTCATGTGTTGTGAATGGGCTGAGATGCTCATGATAGAGCACTGGGTCACCCGCGGTGTGGAGGAGGGGGAGCTTCGCCTCAGGGCAGGTGGTGGCTGGATAGCAGTGGAGCGGTGAGGTGCAGAGGGTGACCATCATGGGAGCCCTTTGAACTGCAGGCTGCAGGTGGAATGTGCTTAGTCAGCAGGTTACTTTTTTCATCCTGCTTAAGGGGTGAGCCTGGAGAGTCAACCTAATGCTAATTGTTCTTGATGTGGTAGCCTGTGACGGAGATTTACCAGTCATCATGATCAATCCATTGTCTAAATTCACCAGCAGATACAACACAGACTCTTCCTCTTTGATCTGAGACAAATGCTCCTTACAACCCAGCACAATTAAAGGAAGGTTTGCATTCATTAGAAAACTGATTGGACAAAACTGAACAAACAGATCTTAAACCATTCAAACTCTGCAACGATTCTGTCTTTGTATTGGATATAACATATGAAATTCGACCTACAGGTCCCAATGATGACCCTCTTTCACCTGACACAGTGCATGCCCAGGACCGAGGATCTGGAGGAGGCGCGTGCCCGAGGCCCACAGCTGCTGTTTTTACTAGATGAATAAAACCATGATCTCCTCCCTACTGTTTCATTCAACGCAAATGTCAGGGCACATGATCCTCAATGCAAACACATTTTGCAAAGCCAATGAATGATGAATGAATGGACCAAACCTCCTTGCCTGCAGGCACATTGCTTCCATAGAAACACAGTTAATGTTGTCAGTATTTGAGAGAGATATACCAAAACAGTGTTCATATGTTTTTGTTGAAGCCAATTTTTGTATTCTCTTGAGTCCTAGTTTTTATTGGTTGAGCTATGTCAGCCATGAAAAGTAAATTTTGTCTTTTGTACATGTCTTTTTTGAATAGTTGACTACTTTGTATGTTACCGGTGGTTCAGTATCGGGTAAGCCCCAACTAGCTGGAAAACCAAACAAGTATGAGAACTGATTTAATTTAGCATTAACAATGGCTTAACCAAAATATCTTCACAATTCAAAATGTATGGCCCTAATAATAAATAAGATATTTGACGATACAAGGCAAAACTGAAGTTAATTTCTTGTGACTACTTCATTAAGATGTTTTCCTAATTAATATGGTTTTCAAAGGAATACCATTATCAGTGTAAATAGCTCCTCTTGTGATTTGGTTGGGTGGGTTTTAGAGGTTACTGCTCACACTTTTGCAGTTCTTTCTTTTCGTCAACTGATACCATGAATTTAATTGCTTAGAAGGAGCAGATAAAATCAGTAAATCAGGTTTGGGATTCCTCATTAGGACAGCGGCCTTTTCTTTCCCGACAACATTATGTGAAACTATTTGAAGAATTCACGACATATGTCAAATTCCGTCCGAAAGTCTGTCGTTCAGATACTGTGATGTCAAATAGCAACGTGATTCCCTGGATGCAGTCTGCTTGACTGGAGCCACTTGACTCAGGAGACTCGCTGTTCCTTCAGAGGAATCCCTTTGTGTCGACCCAAACCCAGGGCATCTGACCACAGGGGGTCCAAACCATCGGAGTATTGCACACAGACACACCAGCATACCTCGCCTCACTCCCAGGAGTAAATACTGAATCACAGAAAAACAACCCCTTCCTCTCCAAACAAGGGTTTGATTTGTTAGTCAAAATGAATAACTTGCATAAGGTGGGTAGACTTCAAACGAAGGTACACACAAAAGGTACTCATTTCGTTTTACAGACTGTTTGTACTGTGTGCTGATACCATCAACACAAACAGTTATAAACTTTGTGTCTGACTTTTATGAGAAGGAATTGCTGAAAGGGGAGAGGTGTGCCTTTGCTAAGGGAACAATTAAACAGATTAGGCTTGATGAGGGCCGTTGGAGCATGTACTATATGTCTGAAGGTGCTATGTGCTGTGTGCTGCAGCAGGCCTGTCCTCGCTGTGTGTCACTCTGCTGCTCACAGCCAACAGATCAAGGCCTCGGCCCCTGTGGTCCCCTGTTAGCCCCCAGCCAGCCTCCAGGTGGGCGCTGCTAATGAGCCCCAGTAGTATAGCTCCAGCATGGGCCTCTTCTTCCCAGGGTTGGAGGGGGCCACGGAGGGGGCAGATGGGGTCTGATGGCTGGGTCAGCACCAGGCAGGGGGCTGGGGATGGGACAAGGAAAAGAAACACAACAAGGCGAGCTAAAAATCACACTTTTCAGACCTTATTAATGGTGAGTTTGTATATGAGTGTGGGAAGATCGTGTGTGAGGGCCTGGTAAGGAAAAAGGTTGTGCCACATGGTGCATTATAAAGTCAATGTTGTGCTCTTTGATCCTTGTTTATTGTAATTGACTACACAGTAGCCTACTTGTTTCCGTGCCGGTTGAATGGGCCAGGCGGTAGGTTCTCTTTGCCTTTACAGTGTGAGATATTCCAGAGTAAACAACCCCTCCTTATTCTGAGATACGATACACGTGAAAGAGACTGCAGTGACTAATGGGAGTGTTTGTCTCATACTGCCAGCCTCCGCTTTTGTTTCCTAGGCTTTTGATGTGTTTGATACATGGTGTTTTCAGAAACACAAATCGTCTCCTCCGCAATGTTTGGCCCAAAATAAGAGTTAAAGGGAGGGTACGTGCTGTGAGGTGTGTGAATCTCCACATCAGAGGGAAAAGGAAGGGCGGCGGTGTTTGGGGTTTAGAGGGGACTTTGATGATGGGATGATGTTCGTGGTGACCACAAACATGAAAACCCTTTACTCTCAGATCAACCTGAGTCTGTTGGCTATTGATATATTTGCAATAACCAGCCGTTTTCTCTTTAAATAAAATATTCCTAGCAATTTATCCTGCCAGTCCTTTGTTACCTCTGGCATTGTGAAGGAAAGTGCTGAGCTCAGCCCCAGCAAGACAATTGTGACATAAAGGATATAGTCAGGGATCGAACACCAGAGTCTTGCAAAGTCAGTATCTCTTGACCTGTAAGTGGTGGAAAGTGATCTGTCTGCATTTGTTGAGTATTGCCCTTTTCATTATGATGTATTTTGTTATGTTAATAAGGAACACTTTATGAGTTGTTGAGTGTGCCCCAGCTCAGGAGCCATAACAGTCAAAGTCTCCCTTTGTTCTTAATCTTGGTTCAAGATCTGTGGATGTTAGGGCTTTACAAGTTCAATAAATCTTGTCTTTATTCGTCAAAAACACAACACTAACTGCTGACAATTAAATGACTTGGCTTCCAGCTTGGTCAACTTTGCAGACTGTTGAAAAGGTTTGATAATTACTCTCATTCTTCTCAAACTTGTAGTGTTATCAGATATATGAAAATTATGAATCTCCTTCTACAGCTACAGAAGGCTTCACACAAACAGACTTTGATGTGTTAAATCAGTGGAGTTTCCCTTAAAGGCAGCTCAGCCACATTGCGCTTATTTAGTCACAAAAATATAAAAACGTGGATAAATATCACCACTTTCTGAAATGTTCTTTGGCTGGTAATAAAACATTTATAATAGATCTGTTGGTGTCTTCAACAGGCTGCCACACAGCCTGCAGTCCGTCACCCCGACCCCCAGTATGTGCACTAAAGAATGGGCAAAGATTACGGCTTTTTTCGGTTTTCTAACCTCCATTATGCGTCTAAAAAGAGTTGGTTTT